TATAATGCCTCAATTAATTCACAGACATGCCAGTGAATGGCAGCTTAATTGTAAGTTCAATTCCCAAAATGGGGAGGTGCAATGTGCTGGGTGAGGGGTGTGTATGTATCAATGAGTTCTTCATTCCAATTTCCCCCACATTCATTCTCTTCAGCATTCTCTGTCTGTACATTTATTGTATCCTATTGCATTTCATTCTCCCTGGGTTATTATAATCTCAACTCTCACACTACATGCTTCCTTATTCTCTTGCTCTCACTGTTTATGTCACCGTCTTTCAACCATTTGCTCACTTCGATTTCTCAAAAAAGTCATTATTTCTTCCACCTTCAACAACGACAAATTACACTTTTTCTAACTTCAGATCAAACCAAAGTTAGTTCCATTGTTTGAAAGCCATCAAACTTCTTTTATTTCTTTTTTTCACTTCTACTACTTTGATCTTTTTATTCCCCCTTTCCTCTAATTTACAACCCTCTTTCCTAGATCCCTTTGAGATTCAGATAACACTGGGCTGTGAGTTGGACCCTGGGGGAGCCATAGGAAGCTTCTATCGATTTGCTGATCAAGGATCAGAGCTCTTTCACTCCCAAAACAATTCATTGTTGCCATCTCCAAAGGGTGGAACAAGAGCTCAGGATGTGTACAGGGTATTCAATGAGAACCATGTCACCAAGTATATAGTACAGAGGATTCTCAGTGACACCTGCCCACGCTTACTCTTGAGTATTCTTGATGCAGGGAAGGCAGATCTCCAGAGACAAGGTCAGTCCCATATCTTTCCTCCAAGAATTTTCTAAAATTACACCTTCCCACCTTCCCTTTTAATTGAGGATAAGAGGGAGAAGGGTAATGAGTGAATTCCCAGCATGTGATAGATGTGTTCTTCTAAGCTGGTGGTCGGCAAACTGCAGCTCACGAGCCACATGCAGCTCTTTGGCCCCTTGAGTGTGGCTCTTCCTAAGCCTTAGGAGTACCCTAATTAAGTTAATAACAATGTACCTACCTATATAGTTTAAGTTTAAAATATTTGGCTCTCAAAAGAAATTTCAATCGTTGTACTGTTGATATTTGGCTCTGTTGACTAATGAGTTTGCCGACCACTGGTCTAAGCTGATGTGAAGATATGAACCCTGAGTCTGTGCTAGAGTCCTTATCTGAGTATCTCTCCTGTTCTCTGCAGTAAAACCAGAGGCCTGGCTGTCCACTGGCCCCAATCCTGGTCCTGGCCGTCAGATGCTGGTTTGCCATGTCTCTGGCTTCCATCCAAAGCCAATTTGGGTAAAGTGGATGCGAGGTGAACAGGTACAACAGGGCACTCAACAAAGTGGTATCTTGCCCAATGCTGATGGCACATGGTACCTTCAGGTTTTCTTGGAGGTGGAAGCCACTGAGACATCTGGCCTGTATTGCCGGGTGAGACATAGCAGCCTAGGAGGCCAGGACATCCTCCTCTACTTGGGTAAGAAACACTGGGGCCCACACTGGGAATGGGAGTAGATGGTCCACAGCAGAGCAGGAGAGCCAAGTAAAACATTTGGGATTTATGGACTCCAGACTCAAAAGAATGAAAATAATTAATTCAATAAAGAGAAGAACTGAAAATGAGAGACCTGAGAAGTAGGAAGATGTTGAGGGTTAGATGAAAGATTCAACTCTGAAGAGGGAAGAGAGAGGAAACAAAAACAAAGATTGGTGAGGCGAACACTCAAATAAAAAAGGCAGACCAGGGAAATGCAATAAACAGGGGGTGGGTTTGAAACGACAGCTTGTGTTCACCCAAATCCACAGAACATCATCAAGGCTCCGTGAGCTTGATCATCTTGGCAGTGATGGTGCCCCTGGTGCTTCTGACAGCTCTTGCATTTTGGCTTAGGAAGCGCTGGTGAGTTTTTTCTGCCCATCTTTCCTGTTCTTTCATCCACTCCCTACTTGTCTCTCTCCTCTTAGTCCTTCTTTCCTCAGTCCCTTCCCTTCTACTCTTCAATTCTCACCTCCACCTCATGCAGAGTAACTTCCATCTCTATTCTTATCAGGTCACACTGTGAGCTGCCTGCCATTCTTCTTCCTTTGGAATGAGATCCAGCAGCCCTGGGATTCCAGACATATTTAAACGCAGCATGGCGATAATGTCTGCTCAGCTCTCCATGTACAACTTTGGTTGTTCATGTGTTATTTGTGTGTTTAATGGTTCGTTATTAATATGAGCTAAAGGTAATTTTGCAGGACTTGCTTTCTGACCTGGTTCTGAGATAAAAGTTGATTTTTAACTCTGGATAAAATCAGATCCTAGCAACCGCTACATATTGAAAAATTGATGAATCTCAGGCCATTTCAGATGTCACCTCTTTATGGGGGCTTTCCCTGATTCACAAGTGGAAGCAGCGTCTGAACTCCCACCACGCTTTTCAGTGGACTTTGCTGAATTTACTTCTCACTTTTTATCATTATTGCAGTCATGTAGGCCCTTTTTCATCTTCTAATTTTTAAGCTTGAGAGCAAAGTCTATGTCTTTTTAAAATTTGTATCATTTTCAAAGTATATAACTGTATGTAATATGCTTTCAATAAAAACTGTGTTAAGTTTGCTTAGCATTTACCACTAAGATCAGGTACCTAAAGTTCTAGAGCAAAAAAGGAGGCAGCAAGGAAGTAATGAGTGACAATATTATATATCTTGCTACTTAACACAAATGCATTTTTCCACCAATATGTGAAAAAGAATATACTATTTATAAGTACATTCAGGCTCAAAGTGTATGAAAAGAAAATTTGAGGTTGTATTCACAAAATTACATAAGAAATTCAGCACTTCCATTGGTCTGGATCACTCCACTGGTCCAACCATCAAGGAATGAATCTTAAGTTTACAATAGTACAGTAAATGCAGTAATGGCAATTTTCTTGTTATTTTTTTGTTATTCCTTAAACAAAAGAAAATCTTGACAAACCAGTCGCAATCTCGGACATACCCCCAAGGCTACAAATTCTGCCATTTTTTGAATTCCTTCGAGTAAAAGCCAACCATTGAAAAGAAAAAGCCTGTCTTGTTGCCAGTTATCCCACAGGTAGCAATAGCACCTTCTAAAAGGTAGATTTGGCTTGCCATCAGTGTAAGAAACTTTTTAAACAACATAAAGAATCTAGAGCAACAATAATTTTGGCATCCATCCTCACTATAGTAACCTAAAAGGAAAAAAAGATATTTTTAAAAACATAACTGCTCACAAAAAAAAACACGACAAGTAACAGACTCAGTCATGATCAAAACCAGTAAATTTACATGTCTTTATCACAAATTCTTTAAGGGTAAAATAATAACTTAAGACTGATAAAGTAAATAACCACAAAATAGATCCTTTTGCTAAAATATACATGCCACCTATTTCTTTTACTGCAATGAAAATACATTTAAAATTTTTAAAAATGTAAGTTATATTCCCACTGAAGTTATTCTCATTTACTTACTGTACAGTTTTCTATAGAATAACAATTATAGAATGTAATTTTAGAAAACAATGTTGAAACCCATTAAAAAAATCAATCCCTTGTGAACTAAGGGTTAAATAGACTGGAATGGACCTAAGGTTAGTATTTTTTCTAGACTGCGATAAAACTCCTATGTATAAAATTAGCCCTTTGGCGCTGGCAGTTAAAGTTGTTTGTAATTTGTACCTTTTTTTCTTCTTCTTCAAATCTCAGGCTCTATCTCTCCCAAATCCAGGGGATATGCTTGGTTGCCATACAATTCATTTGCCTACAAATTCACATTCTCCTTACAACCAGACAGTACAAGTTCCATTTACAAGACTATGTAAATAATAAAGTTATCCCATTCCTATTTAAATTACTTTAGGTTAAGGATATATGAAACTCTACAGAAAAATGTGAAATAGACAAACATGCACAACAGAGCAAAAAGAAAAACTTTACCAAGTAGCATTCTAGCTGTAAAAAATGCTCATAACTTGTAGGGACGGAGACACAAGAAAGTTAAGTGTGAAGCAAAGAAAAGAACACGAATTTAACAGGCATGTGTGTTTTTTAACCTTGTCTTTAAATTCTTCTTCCTGCCTTTTACACTAACTCACCTGACTTCAGTTTTACCTTTCCTATACTGCTGACAGAGCAGTTCTCTGTGGTGAAATGGTCAAGTCAAAGGCAAAGAATCAAAGTTCTCAGTAAACCAAATGAACATTTAGATCCTGAATAACTGGGCTGTTACTGTATTAGAAGCCACATGTACTAATTACAGGTAAATTAGTTTCGAACAAAAAAGGTACCAAAATTGATCGGACTCACCACCTAACCTGACAGACTTATGTTTGAATTTATCTGACTTCCCAAAATACATCTCCATTTTAACTTTAACAGGGCATGCTTTTCATTAGATATAAAGTTGATATTTTAAAGTTGCATGAGTATAAAAAGTCCTTTCAGAAGATGTATTGCTACCACTAGGTTTTCCTTGATGGGATATGTCTGGATAAACTGACATAGTAACCCTATAAACTGTATACCTTTACAAGTATTTAAATTTTTTTCTCCCTTTAATATGTATAAGAACATTAAGTCTTTGCATCATAAGGTAGTTTATTTAGACCTCAGAAGGATGCTTGTTACCAACACAGTTTGCTGGAACTCACTTTTTAAAAGAGCTGCTCCTTAATTTTACTACCACATTCCCAGACATGAAATACTGCTGACATGTGACATTGGCAATAACTGTATTAGGATGAGCCTAAATCCAAAACTGGATGGATTTTCAAAGGTTCCTGTTGCTTATGCCCCAAAGCTGTCCTTTGCCTGTACTCCCCACTGTGTGGAATGTTGGACGGACAACTAGTGAAACGTGTAGGTACCATCTCAGTGCCAACTACGTAAAGAAAATGTCAGTCGCAAGATTCTGTGACTACAGATTGCTATTCAATAGATTACACTCCTGGCAAACTACTAACCCGGACCAAGTCCACAAGATAACAACATCACAAAAGCAAAGGAGGAAATCCATGCACCGTCATTTAGGATCTCTGGGACTAAAATACAGTGATGATGAAAGGTAGGATGATACCTGTGGTTAAGGCAGATCATGTGACTGTCAGACTGTGGCCAGAGCCCTTGAGGGTAAGATCTGGCGTGGGAAGGAGTGGCTTGAGGATGCTGACAGGAAGAAAACAGAGCCACTTTTAGGAATGAAATTCACCTTGTTTTTGTAAGGACAGTAAAAGGCTGAGATTTCATGAAGTTGTTTTGGCCTAGATATGGAACAGACAACCCAATGCATTTAAGTCACAGAACAGTGGAAATACATTCCTTTATTATTATTTTTAAAAGCAGATAACAGACACTCATTAGGAATACAAAATTCAAGCTATGTCAGAAGTTTCAAATGTTATGGACCAAAGAGGGATTAGACACATGATTCAAAATCTGTATTTCAGAACGCCGGGAGGACACCATTCACCTTGCTGCTGTCAGTTCCCTGGCGAGCCCAGGGCACCATAAGCTTTCCCAGGCTGCCAAAAGGGTCCATAGCACAAAACAGGTAAAGAGCTCCTGCAAGAGGGCCTGAGAGATGTTGTAAAACGGCTTGTAAAAGGCTTACAAGGAGCACAGGAAGTGACAACCAGTGCACAAAGGAGGAGGGAGAGTTTGGGGAGAAGCAGCCTTCCAAAGGAAGTCACACCTGAGCTGGGTGGTAAGGAATGAAGAAACAGGCCTTGGGCATGGGTGCAAAAGAAAGGAGTATCAAGCATTGTCTAATTGACACTCCTTTGGGTGGCAGATTTTACCGATGAACAGTGAATACTACCCATGAACAGCTCTGACAAATGTAATAATTATGAATAAAGACATTACATGAGGGAGTGGGCTCATGTAGACAGGCCCAGCTCCAGCTGCCACCTCGCTGGTCCTCTCCTGGCCTAAGCCTCCCCCTGAGGGCTCTGGCAGCAGAGGCCTGGGGTAGCGGACCTTGGTTCCACCACTGTGTGACTTCAGCCCTCTGAGCCTCAGTTGTCTCAGCTATGAGATGGGTTGAACACTCCCTCCCAGCCTTGTTGTTGGGACTTAATGAGATAAATCCCAGTGCCTGGCACACAGTAAGTGTTCAATAGATGGCAATGCCCTCTCTCTGTGTAGGACATATGGAGATACTAGTCCACGCCTCGCCTGGAAGGGTCTAGATATGCACTGTCCACCAGAAAAGTCATGAACCCCATGTGGCTACTGAATACTGGAAATGTGGCCAGTCAGAATTGAGAAGTGTCATCAGAGTGAAATATACAGCGGATTCTGGTAACCTGGTACATAAAATGAATGCAAAGTATCTCATGAATAACGTTTTACATTGAGTACATGTTGAAATGACATATGTCTGGTACATGGGGTTACATGAAACCTATTTATTAAATTTAAAAATACATAATTTCAGTTGTTTCTTGAATAAAATAGAAACTTAACTCATTGAGTACTTTTAGGCCCACAAATGTGTTTGGATATGCTGCTGTTAAGAGGACACACTCCTCTATTTTTACTATCTGAGGGTATGTTTTTCTTTATTTTCTCTTTGTAATCCTCATTCGAGGATATTTTTCCATTGGTTTTTAGAGAGAGAGTGGAAGAGAGAGGGAAAGACAGGGAGAAACATCAATATGAGAGAAACACATCAACAGGCTGACTCCTGCATGCATGAGCCCTGACCTGGGCCAGGGCAGGGGCGGAGCCTGCAACCAAGGTACGTGCCCTTGACCGGAATCTAATCCAGGACCCTTCAGTCTATAGGCCAATGCTCTATTCAATGAACCAAACCAGGTAGGGCTAGTTTTCTTTTTTTTAATATATATTTTTACTTTAGAGAGGAAGGGAGAGGGAGATAGAGACAGAA